CCGTTACCTCATTTTGTACTCCCTACAGGTGACCGTTACCTCATCTTGTACTCCCTACAGGTGACCGTTACCTCACCTTGTACTCCCTACAGGTGACCGTTACCTCATCTTGTACTCCCTACAGGTGACCGTTATCTCATCTTGTACTCCCTACAAGTGACGTTACCTTATCTTGTACTCTCTACAGGTGACCGTTACCTCATCTTGTACTCCCTACAGGTGACCGTTATCTCATCTTATACTCCCTACAGGTGACCGTTACCTCATCTTGTTCTCCCTACAGGTGACCGTTATCTCATCTTGTACTCCCTACAGGTGACCGTTACCTTATCTTGTACTCTCTACAGGTGATCGTTACCTCATTCTGTACTCCCTACAGGTGACCGTTATCTCATCTTGTACTCCCTACAGGTGACCGTTACCTCATCTTGTACTCTCTACAGGTGACCGTTACCTCATTTTGTACTCCCTACAGGTGACCGTTACCTCATCTTGTACTCCCTACAGGTGACCGTTACCTCACCTTGTACTCCCTACAGGTGACCGTTACCTCATCTTGTACTCCCTACAGGTGACCGTTACCTCATCTTGTACTCTCTACAGGTGACCGTTACCTCATTTTGTACTCCCTACAGGTGACCGTTACCTCATCTTGTACTCCCTACAGGTGACCGTTACCTCACCTTGTACTCCCTACAGGTGACCGTTACCTCATCTTGTACTCCCTACAGGTGACCGTTATCTCATCTTGTACTCCCTACAAGTGACGTTACCTTATCTTGTACTCTCTACAGGTGACCGTTACCTCATCTTGTACTCCCTACAGGTGACCGTTATCTCATCTTATACTCCCTACAGGTGACCGTTATCTCATCTTGTACTCCCTACAAGTGACCGTTACCTCATCTTGTTCTCCCTACAGGTGACCGTTATCTCATCTTGTACTCCCTACAAGTGACGTTACGTTATGTTGTACTCCCTACAGGTGACGGTTACCTCATCTTGTACTCCCTACAGGTGACCGTTATCTCATCTTGTACTCCCTACAGGTGACCGTTACCTCATTCTGTACTCCCTACAGGTGACCGTTACCTCATCTTGTACTCGCTACAGGTGATCGTTACCTCATTCTTTACTCCCTACAGGTGACCGTTACCTCATTCTGTACTCCCTACAGGTGACCGTTACCTCATCTTGTACTCCCTACAGGTGACCGTTATCTCATCTTGTACTCCCTACAGGTGACCGTTACCTCATTCTGTACTCCCTACAGGTGACCGTTATCTCATCTTGTACTCCCTACAGGTGACCGTTACCTCATTCTGTACTCCCTACAGGTGACCGTTACCTCATTCTGTACTCCCTACAGGTGACCGTTACCTCATCTTGTACTCCCTACAGGTGACCGTTACCTCATCTTGCACTTCCTACAGGTGTCCGTTACCTCATTCTGTACTCCCTACAGGTGACCGTTATCTCATCTTGTACTCTCTACAGGTGACCGTTACCTCATCTTGTACTCCCTACAGGTGACCGTTACCTTATTTTGTACACCCTACAGGTGACCGTTACCTCATCTTGTACTCCCTACAGGTTTTCCGTTACTTCATTCTGTACTCCCTACAGGTGACCGTTATCTCATCTTGTACTCCCTACAGGTGACCGTTACCTTATCTTGTACTCTCTACAGGTGATCGTTACCTCATCTTGTACTCCCTACAGGTGACCGTTACCTCATTCTGTACTCCCTACAGGTGACCGTTACCTCATCTTGTACTCGCTACAGGTGACCGTTACCTCATTCTGTACTCCCTACAGGTGACCGTTACCTCATCTTGTACTCGCTACAGGTGATCGTTACCTCATTCTTTACTCCCTACAGGTGACCGTTACCTCATTCTGTACTCCCTACAGGTGACCGTTACCTCATCTTGTACTCCCTACAGGTGACCGTTACCTCATTCTGTACTCCCTACAGGTGACCGTTACCTCATTCTGTACTCCCTACAGGTGACCGTTACCTCATCTTGTACTCCCTACAGGTGACCGTTACCTCATCTTGCACTTCCTACAGGTGTCCGTTACCTCATTCTGTACTCCCTACAGGTGACCGTTATCTCATCTTGTACTCTCTACAGGTGACCGTTACCTCATCTTGTACTCCCTACAAGTGACCGTTACCTTATTTTGTACACCCTACAGGTGACCGTTACCTCATCTTGTACTCGCTACAGGTTTTCCGTTACCTCATTCTGTACTCCCTACAGGTGACCGTTATCTCATCTTGTACTCCCTACAGGTGACCGTTACCTTATCGTGTACTCTCTACAGGTGATCGTTACCTCATTCTTTACTCCCTACAGGTGACCGTTATCTCATCTTGTACTCCCTACAGGTGACCGTTACCTCATCTTGTACTCTCTACAGGTGACCGTTACCTTATCTTGTACTCCCTACAGGTGACCGTTATCTCATCTTGTACTCCCTACAGGTGACCGTTACCTCATCTTGTACTCCCTACAGGTGACCGTTATCTCATCTTGTTCTCCCTACAGGTGACCGTTACCTTATCTATTACTCCCTACAAGTGACGTTACGTTATCTTGTACTCTCTACAGGTGACCGTTATCTCATCTTGTTCTCCCTACAGGTGTCCGTAACCTCATCTTGTACTCCCTACTAATGACGTTACGTTATCTTGTACTCTCTACAGGTGACCGTTATCTCATCTTGTTCTCCCTACAGGTGTCCGTAACCTCATCTTGTACTCCCTACAAGTGACGTTACGTTATCTTGTACTCTCTACAGGTGACCGTTACCTCATCTTGTACTCCCTACAGGTTTTCCGTTACCTCATTCGGTACTCCCTACAGGTGACCGTTACCTCATTCTGTACCCACTACAGGGTGATTCGGGTATCACAGAGCCTGACCACTCGACTAGTTTTAGCCTACACTCACAAGTAATGGTTATTTGTAACAGGTTCGTTACCCCGGATCCCCCACAGGAATTGAATACATCGAAAACTTACCCGGGGAAGCTAGAGAACAACATAATTAAAATGGATTTCAGAATGAATACCAGTGCTTCTTGGTAAGGATAAGATATATTGAAGAACAACATCCTTATTACAATTAGGAGCGACGTTTCGTTGTTGGTTCTGACACTGTTATCAAGCATGTGTTAGAAGCTACAACGAAACGTCGCTCCTAATTGTAATAAGGATGTTGTTCATCCATATATCTTATCCTTACTAGACCGCCTCCGTGGTCTAATGGTGGAGCGTCCGCCCGAAGAGCGGAAGATCCGAGGTTCGATTCCCGGCCGCGTCATACCAAAAGACGTTAAAACGTGGTACTTCAATTAAAAAGTGGCCCAACGTCTGACTGCTATCTGTGTTGTTGTTACACTGTCTGGCGCTCGGCATTAAGGGGCTAAAACAAGGACAGGTCGGCTTGGAGTCATTATACTGTGTCTGAGTGGGGTATTCATGTTAAACTGCGGTATGGTATCTCAGTGGGCCAACACAATAAATCGGCGTCAGTTCGGACTAGTACAAACAGCCTCTCTCTCTCTCTCACACACACACACACACACACACACACACACACACACGTCATCATATAAGTGCAATAATCTTTGACGCGACTTTAAACCCCATTTCACCTCAACTCCTTATTTCGTACTTCAACTTATATATGCCTCTCAAAGAAACAATGCCTCTTGATTCGTGATACATAGGATTATCTAAGAAGTAACTATACAGCTCGACAGTTACAAGTAAAACCTACTGTGAGACCAAGTGAGACCACCCGATCGAAGTTAGACAGCTTCTACGACGGGTGCTTCGATCTTAATTAATCAAGCACCTTCAAGCCAGACCACCTCTTATCAGAGCGTCCCAGGGGTCTATTTCAATCCGGGTTCCCACTGGGTTATAAAGAATTTTACCATGACATTGAAGAATGCTTGATTCTGGCCCATACCTCTTTACTGATACCTCTTTTCCATTTTCACACAAAAAACGTGCGTAAGAAGACATCAATTTATCGACAGCCTTCACATCGATGCATATAACAATGGCGGCCGATAACCCAATAGAATATTGTATACGTTCGATATCAGAACAACAGCTTACCAAACCTGATGAAATCTATTTAAGAACACACACAATGAAGTAAAACACACGAACCACTGTGGCAGGGTCACATCAGAAACATGAGACGTCTCTCTCGTGTAGCTGTCTGCTGCTAAAACAGCGGTAAAGTCAGCAATGCTAGTGGCAACGGTTGTGCATTTCGGCTCACATTCCACCAGTACAGCACCAGGTTAATGATCCATATAACTACTGATCGGGATTGCCCTCTGTGTAATGACATGTGTAAACAGCACTGTCACCGTGAACAACCACGTTGGCAGCCATGGACAGTGAAGAGTAAAGCCCCCTTTACACAGGGCTGCGACCTTTGTGCCACCAAAAACTGGCCAGGACGCTCAATGGTCGCCTAAACCCAGAAAATCATGTTTCTATGTAACTGCCCCAGCAGTTGTTCAGCAGTAACTGCTCGAGTTGTTCAGCGTCTGCAACCACAATGAAACACTGCAAACCCTCTATTTCTAGGCAGGCTGAGGAGGCACTACAGATAGCTCAAAGGAGGCAGAAAAGAGGCAGAAGCATTGTCATGGTGTCTCAAGGGTTGCTGTGGTCGCTGAATGGAGGCACGACGGTCGCCACAATGATCATTCAACCATCATTCATGTTGGTCGCCCAAAGGAGGCACAAGGGAGGCAGAAGCATCGCCCAGATTGACGGGGAAAAATTGCAGCAGAAGGCATCTTTTACCTGGCGACTATTGGGCGACCCCTGTACCTTCATTCTGCAACAACGGCAATGTTTGTGCCTTCCTTCTGCCTCTTTGAGCCACCTTTAAGCCACCTTTGAGCAACCAACCTCCTCGGCGACCTTTGTGCGACTATTTTGGACATGTTCAAAAACTCACGGCGACCATGGCGATGTCTGAACCTCCTGTGTACCACCTTGGAACGACCTAGGCAACCATTTTGCCTCCTTTGGGCCTCCAACGACGACCTGGCGAATTTTATGGGAAGACACAAAGGTCGCCATCCTGTGTTGAGGCCCCATAAGTAGGTCAAGTTCAGCCAGGTCGACGTTCGGGGTGGAGAGACACTTGATCACTACCTGTGACCCCTTTTCGGAACGTTCTAAGATTGCTGACCTATGTACCCATCTCTAATTACGCGTTCCAAAAGACTACGTTTGAAACCAGTCTTGTCGTCTCGTCGTCGTGGTAGAATGGAGCTAAACCTACTTTGAAGTTACATGTAGCCCCCCTGTAGCTTATTATATTTGTCTTATTTTATTTTGCATAACGACACCGCTAAAGCGCTCAGTTCCAAACAAAAATATAATGTTTCAAACCTGCAGTGGGACTACATCCAATTTCAAAACACATTAAGTTTATCTATCTCTTTTATAGAACTGCCTTCATTTTAGAAAAGATGAGTATGTAATGAAGCTTAAATGAATCAGAGTATATATATCAAAATATGTAATAAGTATGCATATTTGATTCAATCGAGTGTTTTAACAGACATTCTCTCTGAAATATTTAGCTGTAAAATGCTGCACGGGAACTCCCTGCCACATACAATAGTGTCAATAGTGGTCAAAGGGAAACAACTCTTAAGAATCCTTGTTGGAGTCCGTGACATTCACACAGCCTGTTCGCCATGCTTCGTGTTGTTCTGCCATGGATTTGTGACATCTGAAATAGTTTTTAGGAATATCTTTGCTACTTTGGTGAAATGTTACACGGTGTTGTTATTTTTTGGGAGAAATGAAATTAATATAATTGCATTTTTGGCATGATGTTGGTATACGTGTATTTAAAACTCCATCCGCTATATCAGCAGGTGATACCCAATTCATAAACACCAAATAGCATTATACTTTGGAAAAAAGTTCAAAACTGTGCTGCCAGGCTTGTTACTAAATCAAAAAGTTTGACCATATCACACCGATTATACGGAACATCCACTGGCTCAAAATCAATGAGAGAATCCAGTATAAAGTGATGTTGATTGTGTTCAATGTGAGACACAATAAAATAACAACTTATAATATCAGCGAGCTTCTTGAAGAGTACGTGCCTGGGAGATCTCTCAGATCAAGCTGCCAGTCCCTACTCTCTGTGCCTAGTGTTAGAACGGTAACTTTTGGAGGTCGGAGTTTCGCCAAAGTAGCCCCTGAGCTATGGAATAGGCTTCCATTGGATATCAGGAACATTGACAGTTCTACTTTGTTCCGATCAAGACTCAAAACCTATCTTTTTACCAAATCTTTCTTGGAGTATTGAGGCTTTGTGTTTTCCTAGCTGTGTAATGTGACTCAAATGAAGCGCTTTTGAGCAGTTCTTCGCACTGGATACCAGCGCTATATAAATCTGTATTATTATTATTATTATTATTATTATTATTATTATTATTATTATTAAAAACAGTCCGTGTAATGGAGATTATAATGTAAGGTCCAAGAAATCAGTATACAAATAACTAAAAGTATGCATTTCGTTTCGGTGAAAATACACGCCATAAACATCAATCCAACAAATATTATCAATGCTTCTGTCGCTAAATGGTTGAAATAATGCCGATGCGAAGATAAATTTTAATTCGCTCACTTCAATGCTTCTAATAACCTAAAACCTGAAACTTTCATTTCTCTGGCTATTTAGAAGTTATATGCTATCCGGACTAATGACATACAACCCGGGTAGTGAAAACACATGTACTGCAATGAAGCACAGCTTTGAACCAGAAATCACTTACCTCTTGGTACGACTGTTTTAGCAACTGATTTATGACTACCATTGTCTGGAGTACATTTGACTCCAAAGGCTAATTACCCTGTAGCCATGTCTCCATAACTTAATTGTTATTACGTTTTAGGCGCTAATCCCTGTTGTTAATCCTCACCAACATTCCATTGTATATTGACTGACAGCCAACCTGGGCTACATCTTAATCACTTCCCGTTAATTACTGTTTTTTTATAGTATGGCATTTATTGCCCTAATTGATCATCCCATGAACTGTGTTGGTTAATCACGCCCACATGTCCAATGTCCAAAGCAACGTCGTTGTCTCTTTGTCTGTCCATTGTTGTTCATTACTATATATGTGCTACCATTACACAGTTACTACGGTGTTAGTCAGGCTTGGTATTCCGAGTGCTGGCACAGGGACGACCTCGAGCAGGATGTGCCGCTCGTAGGAAACGCCCTGAGGTGAGCTGGAACTAGGCTCACCTCTTGTACGCCTGAGCTGAAGGTCCGCTCATTGCTGTGTTTGTGTTGTCAGAGCAGGTATTCAGCTCATTGTGAAATTGTTGTTTATTGTTTACATGTTGTGCATAAAGCGTTCCGGGACAGTGATGTCGATTTTGTCCTTTATTACCCCAAGAGCTAATTCCCCGTCAACACAAGCCCGTTGACACGACAATAAGAAAGTATGTGAATTCTGGTTTAATGACCTATCTTTGGGGTTTTGAGAAAACACATGCCATACGTGGTGCCATGAAAACAGATATATAAGCACTGCATACATAAGACCCAGCCAGAAAATATTTGGAAGAAAAACATGAGTGAAAAGCATTATGAATGGACCTTCACGGATTCACGTCACCTTATTCGCAGGTCACCGGCGGCCTTGTCAGATCATATGGGATCATAACTGCCATACTGGAGGGGCAAACATGAATATGCAAACTACGCAACAGACGTTTTGATACATAGAAACAGAAATGAACGTCCCATAGTAAAACAAGCAGATACAGAGATGCAATGGAGATACATGATATGTGCAGATACAATGACAGAATTGAGATAGATCCTCATATCAGATCTATGGTAGAGCGTCAGCCCGGAGAGCGGAAGGTCCGGGGTTCGATCTCCGGCCGCGACATACCAAAAGACGTTAAACGATGGTACTTGTTGTTACCCTGTCTGGCCCTCGGCCTTAAAGGGCTAAAACAAGGACTGGTCGGCTTGGAGTCAGTATACTGTGTCTGAGTTAAACTGCAGCATGGTATCTCAGTGGGATAGCGCTATAAATCCGGACACACACACACACACACACACACACACACACACACACACACACACACACACACACACACACACACACACACACACACACACACACACACACTGTCATCTAAAGTCTGGTTGCCCAACGTTTGAAATTGTTCCCACCGACGTCTCTTGGTTGATGCATGCCATCATATCCCATGCATAGATCGATGTTCATTATGTCAATCACTGGATTGTCTGGTCCAGACTCGATTATTTACAGACCGCCGTCATATAGCTGGAATATTGCGGAGTGGGACGTTAAAGATCAAACAACAAACAAACAAACAAACACGTAATTGTATCGGCACACATACCATATTTCATATTATCTAGTGCGAAGTGTTGCTATGTATGCCTTGTTATTCTGAGTAACTGCGCCATAGTATTCAGTGGGTGTATTCAGTTCCACGTGTATCCTTTGTGCATCGGTAACTGCGTATGGCATGATCTTCAGATAGACAGTTTGCACCCAAAACTACGTGTATAAAGTACAGGCGGTCGGAGTACACGACAAGCGTTTACAAAATACAATAACACGATATCGCTCAGAATCTAGAGATCGCCACAGGTAGCTCTGTCTAAAGGTATTATGAACACTGTCTTGTCAACAACGCAACGGTTGTTTTAGTGGGTAAGAAAAACGAGCCAGCGTGTACACTTCAATATGGTAAGATGCCCACTTGCTCCATGCTATCTGTTCACGTCCGTAAACACTACAGCTCCTCTTTATACATATCAACATGCTATGTGTGGGTGTTTCCTCGTATAAGACTACATTACTATTCAAATAAGCAAATATCAAAGTGCACATTTCCATCACGTTTATGTGATAAAAAGATTAAGTGAGTGAGTTTTGCACCGCTTCTTGCTGTATACCAGCAATATCACTGTGAGGGACACCCGTAACGGGCGTCACGCATTGTACCTTCATGTACGCGGGGAATCAAACCCGGGCCCTCGACGTGGCGAGCAAACACTTTATCCGCTAGGCTCCTCAAGAGTCCCTATATGCAATATATTCGCTGAACAATTTATCATATGTGAAAACACAAAAAAGGTCCATCGTAATCCATTATACAGCGAATGATGGTATAAAAATGGCTTGTCAGCATTCATGAATTGCGTGTTCTGTTTGTTCACTTTGTAACATGTTGTTTGGTACAGTCACTTGGCTACTTTCGGGCGTCAGTTGTTGATGGAAAAAAGTTCAAATGTATTTTTGAAAAGGCGCGATAACGTGATACAGGAGCATGTTTAATAAGAAATCTGTGCAAAAAGCTGACTGTACGATTCCAACTGCATCATAAGTGTTAACATGGGGAAAATGGACAAAGTTCTACAAATATTTTATCACGTTACATGCCACATATTAAGAATTGGAAATTGTGAAATAAGAGAATATTACAACTAACGACCACGTTCCATTATCTTTAGACGGCCAACGGTCAACCCGATAACGCATTTCGGACAGGACCAGCATCTCTCATGGTGCTGGTCAGATTATCTGTATCTGCAGCTGTTTACCATCCACCCTTATCAAATCACAGGTACCACGTATGCATTCATGGTATACTAGCAACTGGTAAACTATTATTCTGATTAAACTTCACTCATAAACACCTTTATCATCAATGCCTCGGTCAAACTCAATTATATATTCCTGTCTAGATAGCGCCACTAAAGTTCGCAATAACAACTTTATCGTCACTTTAATCAGTAAATAAGATTATCTGTAACAGCCAGAATAGGTATAAATACGGACGACAGACAGTCACAAATCATTTTGCGCCTGCCTAACAAACTGACTGTTTATTCACTTAGGAAAGAAACGTTACTATCTTGTGCTTTGTTAATTCTTAACTATATGTTATTACCCTTGGCAATACCTGCAAGTTTAATTGGTAACTGTAAGTGTCACACGTGTGTGTATATCTTAAATATTCCCATGTACTACTTCTGTGTATAGATTATGACAATTCTGTTAGCTTAGCACGTTGTTTACCGTTTGGAATATGTATTGTAGCTGAACTGAATGTATCTTGTGTGAATGCCCACTGGGGTAATGTACAAGATTCAATCCTATGTAAACTGTATCATGACTAATGTAGTATGTATCTTGTGTAATGATTCTATATCATGTTCACCTAATGTTCTTCAGATATATGTACTTCTACAACTGATTGTCAACATGCTTTAAAAATTGATTGTAAACATTTCTATTTGACTGATTATATATGGATTCTGTGGCAGTCTAACAAATCGACTGTTTGTTCACTCAGGTCTTGTGTTGTTGTGTGGGTTGGTCGTGTACAGTGGTACCTCTGCTAAGGGAGCTGCTTCCCCAACTCTCGTTGTGTAAGCATGCGGTTATGAATCACTGTGTTATAACATGGCTGTGTTTGCAGTTTCACGGCGGGGGATACGTATGTCAAAGAAATAACCACAGACAACAGAGTAACTGAGAAATATCCCAGCAATATCACAGCATTGTACATGAAGAAGAGGGTTTGTACAGTCCAAACTCTCGTGGACGCCAAAACTATAGAAAACAATCCTACCGACCAAGTGCCAAAATAGGTCACATTTTAAAATTATATTACATTGCTTTTACGCCTTACTTTGGTCAAAGTCGATACTTTTCTGAAGACATATTTTTGTTCTGAGGTAGCCAAGTGGCTGAGGTGCTGGCTCCTCAGACCGAAGACCAGGTGTCGATTCCCATTTCTGGAGTCCCCCGCCATGATAGTGCATGAATATTACTAAAAGCGGCATACAACCCAACTTACTCACTTTCACTGACATGAAGTCGTTCAACACTCAGTGTTCAGTGATACATTTCTATCCAAACATGTGTACAGCATGATTCTACTCTCTATATATGATGACACAACAGGATTAGTCTTGTTGTCGAGCATTTATTTCTGATGTAAGAAGAAGTTTGGAATCATGAATTCATTTTACATCTCACATACAGTTGCCTCTCTCGCATGGGTAGGTCTTGTGACATTTCTTTTCAGAAATGCTTCCCATACGGCATGGCTGGCCATTATTCATAGCACTTTTTGCCAGGAGGTTATAGTATTTAGACTGGTTTTTATTGTACCAAGGGCAGTCGTGTGGATTGTCGGGGTAGTAGTAGCAGTCAAGGTTCATGTTGCCGTCTTTGTTCTTGCAGCTGAAGAGACGCAATCCTCGGGGTCCACCACCAGAGTTGTTTTTGATCTCAGCATAGCTACATGAGACGTCCCCGGCCTTTATTGTGCCCTGTGTGAAAGGAGGGAGATTGTCAAGGACGAGTTGCTTGGCTGGTTGGTTTGTTGTTTAACGCCGCACACAGCAATATTCCAGCTATATGACGGCGGTCTGTAAATCATCGAGTTTGGACCTGAAAATCCAGTGATTATTATCATGAGCATCGATCCACGCAATTGGGATCGATGTCATGCATCAACAAAGTCAGCGAGCCTGACCACCCGATCCCGTTAGTCGCCTCTTACGACAAGCATAGTCGCCTTCTACGGCAAGCATGGGTTGCTGAAGACCTATTCTACCCCGGATCTTCACGTCCAATGACGAGTATAAACGTAACATTGAGATAGTGGGAAGGGTTTAACAACGATGGTTAATTACAATTAGAGTGTGGCAGCTTAATGTGGCATGAAAACGAGATGGGTTACAATTCAAAGACGTTAACACTCGGATGGAGCTAACGGGCGATGGTTTTTGAGTGACTGGAAAGGTTTCGCACAGACCTAGGATCGTAATCGATGAAGTACTGCTGTTGGGACAAACGGCCAGTGGCTCCTGGCACGGGGAACGCGTAACTACTGTTGACCATACTTATAAAACATTGTGCTGAATGTTATTGAATCAATACCTTGATGGTCGCCGCTCCACTAAGGCTTGGGCTCAAAGTCATTATCAAAGACAGCACACAAAGGATGACGGCAATAGGTTCCATTGTACCTGCAATACAAATAATCACAAACATCGATTTTGTATCTTGACGTTTGAATGCTTACATCATGTAATAGCTATAAGGTAGCAATTCGTCTAGAAGTGGGGTACTGAATATTTATTTTATCAGCCAACATCTGAATCTTCAAACATCTTCCCTATTTGACTTAGTCTGACCTTCAACATCGATGGCTGCATACATGTAGAATAACAACGGTCGCTATGTAGGTCCAAGATCACGCGTTTGTTCTCGGTTGGGCTGAAGTTTTAGGCGACAACAGCCAGTTAGATGGGAGAATAAAGGTTGAAAAGGCTCAGGTTGACCATCACGTGACAGAACGCATGCCGGGACCGAGTGGCCAATGTTCCCGGTGATGGGACTCGCTCTGTCACTTACACTCAGGCTGACGGCGATTATCTATCGCCGACGTAGTGGCTGGTGATACGGCGGCCATTGTCGTCACCGCGAATAGCCGTGCAATCCGTCTGCTACTGTCGATGAGCTGGACTGGTCTCACTGTTTGACAATGTCGATAAGGTTGTGTCGAGAGAGGGAATATTACACTTTGTCCCGCAAGAAACATTTCTACGAAACGAGTGGATTTTCTATCGTTTCTGACCAAGCGAAAGTGAGGTCAGATACATAGAAAGTTCACGAGTACGCTCATTCACAAATAAGAGTGAGTGAGTAAGTGAGTTGGGTTTAACGCCGCTTTTAACAGTATTCCAGTTATATCACGGCGTGTCAGCTTAATGTAGGAGGAAAGCCCGAAGTGATGCAGGTCTCAGACGTTTATCACTTCGGTGAAACCCACGAGCACGGGTATGGTGCTGACAAACCTAGAAACATAATCAGGGCGAACCGGGATTCGAACCCACAATCATAGGTTTCTGGCGTGCCAAAGGGACGCAACTCTGCTCAGCGAATCGCGTCGCCTTAGACTACTGGGCCACCCGTGTCCCCTCATAAACAAGAACCTTCGAGAACAATGTCACACTTCGAAGGGACCACTGTGGCACAACTGGAGCATCCATCCTGGGGTTTTGTACCGGGATTAGATATTTTTCAGCTACGACAGCAATATCAGACATACTTTTCTTAAAAATCATGTGCTTGAATACATGAATGTGGTGAGCATTATTTTTTTAATAGTCTGAAGCATAATAAAAAATATTTCAGATTTTTTTCGGGGACAAATTATACAGAGCCCCTCCGTATAAAGACATGCGCGTTATCCCAATCAATCCCACAATCGTTTTTAAAACGCAAGCGGGACGGTCGGGTAGCCCTATGGTTAAATGTTCGCTCGTCACGCCGAATACCAGAGTCTGATTCCCGACATGGGTACAATGTGTGAAGCCCATTTCTGGTAAAAATCAAACTCACTCACTAAAAATGCAAGCGCGTTGTTGTCCTCGTTTAAAACACCAACGGAAGATACTTGTTCAAAATTCATATGTTAAAAACCCCAAAATGCTTAAATTTATAGAGCTTTTTAATTGCAAAATAATAAATGTTATAAGGAAAACTCTGTAATGTCATTTTGAAAACTGTAAAATCTTCCGCGTAAACCATCCCACTATCTTATATGTATATTCCGGCCTGAGTGAAAATAAAGTTGTTCTGTAAATATCATCAGTGCAATCAGTACTTACCGGATCTGGTGTTCTCTGTAGAATTCCGACGACAGTTGCCTGGGGTACTGGAAATAGTGCTCCGGCCAACCAACATTTATAGTGAACTGGTTCCTCAAAAAAGTGATAAAGTCATCATCACGGTTATTTAACATGACGAATGAAATGCAGGTAGTCGGGATCGTGACTCGTTAATTACATCCGTTTCTCTGAAAAAAACCTGCTCTTCGTGTGTTGCAGTATTATCGCACAGCTGTGCATTGAGCAATCCATACAGTTGTCACATTTAGAAGCAGCATCCTGTTAGAACACACCAACATGAATATGACCGTCATGTCGCCAGATCATGGGAATTAAAATAAAGCTTAACATTGGCACAAGAACCATGACGTCCATGCTGTAGCATTGCATATACCCTCATTTTCTCGACGTCAATATTGTAAATATGAGTGACAACTACAAGAAAATAAATTTGAAAAAGGAAGAAATTAAACTATTGAAAAGTGTTACTTTTATCAATTAAAGAGACATGTTAATTATTCATGACTTATGTTCACTGATGCTGACACAAGCTACTTATAGTGTTATACTGCCAGTAGGTCACAATGAACGACCTACAATAAGGTGCTCACAGTGTCCACGATGTTGACCCTGGTTATCAATACCCGAGAAGACCGCTGGATGACGCTAATCTTCACAGTGATAAGAAAAAACATCTTTCTTTCGATCAACCCGAAATTGTGTGAGCATTTGTTTAGAAGTAGAATTAGTGTCAATCCACGTAAGGAAGTACTTCACAATTAGTAAAACCACTCAGTGATCCGTGGAATTACACTGAGTCAATATAGATCAAAAATGTTTTTTGTTGTTTAATGCCTCACTAAGCAATATTTAAGCTATATATTCAGCATCAGTGACGGCATAGGTTCCTGAGGACCAAGCCTAACCTTGAATCTGAGGACCAGTGTTCTAACAAACCGGTTTTGCAATACAATCTTGGTATATCATGCACAAGGTCTTCAGTTTATAATTAAAAGTATCATTCGAAATATAGAGTTAAAATATTATTGTGTCAGGGCTATTAAGAAGGAGGAAAAACTGCATCAAGCAGGTGACAACGGAGGGTTGTTTTTCATCAATTCATATATACTACTCAAAGTTAGCTAAGGATCAGGTTTTGATGATATAAAAAAACATTCAACAAATAAAGATTGAAATATCCCGATGCAAAATGGTTGGGTAAGCCCCGAATGACTTCAATCCAATAGTAAACGGACAGAGGCATGAAGTCATGAGCACGATGTGTGCTAGGTGATTAAGAACCTGTGTTAGGATGTTTGGAGACAGCACATTATTATCAGAGAGTGCAACATCATTTGCTGCTGAGGATTGTAACAAGTGAATGCACTTCTACCCCTCAGCTTCAAAGGTGTCGTTTGACGACCGAAGAATTCGGCAGATCCAATGATATGCTTGAAACTGGGTAAACACAAGTCACTCTGCAACTTTCTTTAGTATGAATGATTAAGTGTGATGAGCAGCTACCAACCGACGTGCAAGTGGTCGACAACATTCCACCACACAGCGGAAAGGAAGGTCTGTCCTGATTGCAGCAAGACGCCATCATTTTGTGACTGCCACCACACTCAGAAATGACCTGCGGAACGCCAATGGCGTGAGCGTTTATACTTAGACAGTGCGTTATCGTCTTCGTGATATTGGTTTCAGGTCACGGAGGGCATGCATTCGCATCCCACTGACCCACAGCACAGGCACGCACCATGGGATGAAGAACAGGTCAATTGGACAGATCAGGACTGAGAGCCAGTGCTTTCACCGATTGATCGGGATACTGTCTAGACTTAACAGATCGTTGTTGCCACGTGTGGCATAGACAAGAAGAAAAATGTCAAGATTCCCACAGGAGGCCACTGTCCGCATGGAGTGGACAGTCAGTCACACAGACATCAACCGTAACGAACACTCGTCGAACGAACTCGGCAATGTTTACTGAAGAGTGGTACAGTTGTTGTTTTTTGGACAATGATTTGTTTACATGTGTTAGCATTGTGTGGCATATGACAATGGATCTTTGTTCACTTAAAATATCTTCACGCAATATTGTCTTTGGCTATTGCAACAGATGTACACAATTTAACATATTACCTTTTACAGTGGAGATCCTTAGCATACCTTGAGTAGTATAGTAGCCGGAATCAACAGCCATTTACACACCCCAATAACAGGAAAAGAGTACCAGCGGCCAAACTAATAGGAGGAACTAATGATTGGATGTTCAGGTGGCATGAAGGTGTGCTACCACTGACAGGTATCAACATACTGTCATATATCAAACTGTATCGTGCACTCAATATGGAGTTTATATGACTGTTTATCCGAAACACGCGGTAACAGGAGGGATAACTTGTTACCATTTGTACATGATGTACACTGATGGATCAATATCTGACACGTAATCATTTCAGTGCAAACGTGCATATCAATTTGCTGTTAATTGCATACAGCAAAGCCAGGACAACAACACCATGAGGGAAAACTCATCAGATTACTGCTCAAACAACGAACAAATGGGCCGTGGGTTTGAATCCCGGATCGCCCCGATTATGTTTTTAGGTTTTACAGCAACATACCAGTACTCGTGGGTTTCACCAAAGTGGAAAACGTCAAAGACCTTGCATGTCACAGTGGCAACATAATACAACAGTGCTCTGTCTGGAGAATTATTCACTGAAATTAACGACATAACTCATGATATGATGACATCTTGGTAAATATGTGGAATTAGTGATGTCATTTGTTTGTGACGTCACAATGGTCTGCAAAGCATTGTGATGCTATTTCATTGCAGCGATATCTACGGTGTAGATATCGCTTGATCAAAACCAAGCGATATCTCCTGTGGGGGCCAGTTTTGGAAGATAAATTAATTTATTATGACACACATTACTTTGGGATAATCCCTGGTCATTTCGTTGGAATACCAATTCTCCGATACTATATTTTGACGGAAGGATGTGTTAACAAGCAAACATGAATAAATTGCCGTGCTTCTGGTTCTGCATGCATATAATTTCATCAACGTCTAATGGCAGGACCGTGTGTTCTGTGTTATACACATGCATCAAAGACACTGAATTTTCGTTTCGTAGCATTTGTTTTCAACATCTGCGACAAAATTCTAAGTAAGCAATTTTAACGTATTTCCTATGTAAGGTCATCTTTTTAGTTCATCTGACTCCCCTCACATGCTTGTCCGCCGTCCATCCTCTTCTCCGATGGCATAATTAACCTACTTAAATATTCTGGCATGGCATTGTCATTTCCTCTGTTGAAAAGGCTAGTTTAATGGAAACTTGCTTTCGTCCATACTGTCGACTAAGGAACTTTCTATGGCTTCTGCTAAGGATAAGACCTACCGTCTTACCATAACGTCAGTATTAAGACCCTTGGCTGACATGAAATCTTCCAATGTGATGGTTGGGTGACAATAACGCATCCGACTGGCACTTCAGGACATCAAAGGGACTTAACTTTGCGCAATTCTAGAAGAACCTCAGCTACCATTCTTGTATCATACAATGACCACATAAAGAAATGTTGGTGTTGATCGCATTTCACACCAAGACGACTTCTTGAGAAAATGATATCTGAACAGGACTAGATTGTAGCATAATCCAGACACTTGGCCAGACAGCAACGGCTTCTTCAACACTCAACCAGACAACAGAAGCTGCCACGACGCTTGACCAGACAACAGAAGCCGCCATCACGCTTGGCCATACACCGGAAGGAACCACGACGCTCAGCAAGACAACAAAAGCTGCTACAACACTCACCAGATACCATTGGACGCCACGACGCTTGACCAGACAATAGAAGCCACCGCGACACTTTACCAGACACCAGTAGGCGCCACGACGCTTCACCAGGCACCAGAAGCTACTTCGAGCCCCAGCCAGACACTAGAAGCCACCACGACGCTAGACCAGACAATAGAAGCCGCCACAACACTCACCAGACGTCAGAAGCCGCCACGACGCTAGCCCCGACAACAGACGCCACCACGTCGCTCAACCAGACAACAGAAGCTGCAACAACTCTCATCAGATACCATTGGTCGCCACGACGCTCAACCAGACACCGGAAGCCGCCACGAGGCTTAACCACACATTAAGCTGACACGCCGTGATATAACTGGAATAATGTTAAAAGCGGCGTTAAACACAACTCACTCACTCACTCATCATATTCACCTCGTGAAAAGTATCGCACCACAAAGACATTTTGAAAATCGGAAAAGAGAAGGGCAAGGAGAAGCTGCAAAGCGAAACAAAGCAATCAACAGTGTCACTTAATGTCAAATAAGATGTTAATTTTACGAATAATAGGGAAATTGAGCATTTACAAAGAAATAGGCAAAAGGTGGTCAGTCACAGCTCGTGCTCGGTGGGGTCGTGCATTGCCGGCCATGAAAAGCAGGACGTGTGACATGTGCATGGTATTAAATTGGAGCACAACAAAACCTTCCAATATGATGTTGTCTTGGGACCTTTGCCCGTTTAAAGTCCCCCTAAACTGTGACTAAGTCAAGTTAACAAGCAAAGCAGCGACATCCCCACACCATCACTGAGACGCCACCACATGCCACTGTTTCCTGGATGTTTCCTGGATGTTGCACTGATGATAAGATGTTCCTCTTTGCCTCTAGACACGAGCCCTACCATCCATGGAGTGCAATAAAAACCGAATCTCGTCAGACCAAAGAACCCTCCTCCGTGACCACAAGTTCCAGTATGCCCCACCCTGACACCAGGCTAAGCAATGCCGCAGGTGTTGTTGTGAGAGGAGTGGACGTCGCATTGGTCTTCTGGCCCATAATCCTGCTGCATTCAGTCGACGGTGCTAAAGGACACACTCTGTTGTGGGTATGCCAGTGACAACGAAGAACAGTGCAACTTGAAGTTGGCAGCCGTTTTGTACAACGACCCTGTCCCCTCTGGCACTGGTTGTACAGTCAGTGTGTGCTTTCTAATGATTACAATGACTGATTTAATGACTGATTACAGTTAGATTAATGTTCAACACGGTGGACATAGCCTGACTTGACATGCCAGTGAGTTCTGGG